TAAACGAACACACAGGAATTTATCATGGTTTGGTCAGCCTGACCAACGTCCACTCCTTGGAGACTCCATAACAAAGTACTGCACTAAATAGTAGTGACCTTCCATTTTCTCCCATATCAAGGTGAAGAAGTCTTTATAGACGTTATTTCACTCCTTGGAGAATTTATCATGGTTTGGTCAGCCTGACCTACGTCCACTCCTTGGAGACTCCATCACAAAGTACTGCACTAAATAGTACTGACCTTCCTTTTTCTCCCATATCAAGGTGAAGAAGTCTTAATAGACGTTGTTTCACCTTCCTAGCGTGGTAGAGAATCATGACATTTTTATAAGAAGAGAACCTCAACTCTATTTTCATCCTACTAGTGATGGTCAGAGAACCATCGCTCTATTTTCACCTTCCTGGTAATATTCAGATAACCAAAACTTTATTTTCTCTCTCCTAGTAATGGTTAGAGAACCATAACTCTATTCTCACCCTCCAGGTGATGGTTAGAGAATAATGATCTTTGCGGAAGAACTTGTTCTTTAGAGTCATTAAAAATCCAGGCATATACTTCCAAATACCAGGAAAGATTTATGTTTAGAGCAACCTTATTACCCTCACAAAATCTCCCTCTCTTCTCTCACAAAGTTCTCCATCTTTTCTCACACAAAGCTCTCTCTCTCAGGAATTCTCAATAGCTAAAGATTTTAAAATAGGAGTATTAGAGTATTGTGCTTCAAGAAACCTAATTTTTAAGATATCCATCTTCTATTAGTATAGTATGATACACGTATCATGCAGTATGATCAGTGTAATTCAATCTCATTGAGCAAGATCATTCAGACGAGCTACAAAACTTTTATAACATTTCATACAGTACAATCGAAATAACATATGGAACAAATTATAGAAAATTCCTTATGTTCATTCCAAACGATCCTTAGGATGACAAACTTTGTACACTATCGATTGTCCAATACTGTGGACATCATATAATATGATCAGTACAAAATTACTATCTTTATTAACCTTTGGCGGCTAGTGTTTTGACAAAGCACAACAGATCGTACAGCATGAAGCCAAAATTGTATATTGTGATGGACTTAAAAAAAACTCTCTAAAAAAAGCATTTTCTCTCTCCCCCCCTATCTGTTTGAAAGGTTACTCAATAATGATACACATCCAAATATATGATTCAACTTAAGAAAGGAAAAATACATAATAAAATGAAAACTGACTATAACCCTTATCTACACAATCTTGATCTGATCAGAATTGCAGATGAACGGTGGAATGATTTTCCAAAATGTTAGTACACTGAAAAACAAAACAAAAAATCACAGAAATAGGACAAACATGTAACAATCACAATAATTTTTATTATCATCAAAATCATAGTTCTTTAATCAGGTTTGCAACACTGTGCCACTAGACCTTCGATCATATGGAATTTGACCTCGGGACCTTCTCCAAAACTCTTGCCAATGTCCATAACCCTTGTTATGACATTTCGAACATTATACTCCACTTCATTCCAACTAAGAATTCAAGATTGAATTTGATATAATGTGATTTTTTGATGATAATAAAATATTAATGTTATGACTATTATTTCTCCTTACATACATGATTATTATTTCATTATACTAATATTTTAAGAAAATCATACTCCAAATTGCTAAAGAATTCAAGAAAGAGTAGATTAGGGTTGCATGTAATTAAGTCTATAAAATTTCTAATTTTCATGAGTATAAGAGAGTGTGATTGTAATTGGGTAGCCATGAACACACACATTGGGGAGTGAGTCGGAACATAAAATTTTAAAACGAAATGTTTTCTATGATTTCAAATCATACTGGATGATTTTAATTATATTTCCTCTTAAATGAAGTTTATCAAATTGTGCCTAAAAACTTTTTGCAATCTTCATAATATACGATGTTTGTTTTTACTGATGACTCACAGACTAAGAAAAAGGTGCGTAATAGTTCATCCCAAATGATCTCATCATTTTTTGAGCTGTTCATACTATAAAAAGTGTGGTTCATATAGACAACTCACAAAGTACAAAATGGGGTCATCCATATTTATCCTAAATGATCTCATAATTTTTCAATCTATTCATATTGTATAAAGTGTGGTTCATACAGAAGCCTCATAGAGTAATAAATGGGGCCATCCACATTCATCCTAAATGATCTCATTATTGTGGATATATAGTTTATGATTTTGATGATAGCAAACATTCATATTTCTCAACGATTGCCTTTTATACTGACATTTCAGATCCACACGATCAGACTGTAATTTTGAACCAGCTCAAGATTGGGTAGACTAGGTCTGAGTCAGTTTGTACACTTTTTCCTTTCTTGAGTCTGTTGTATTTAGTGTGGCTCCTGATGCTTTATAGCTTGGAAGAATTTATGTTGTTCCCTAAAGATTTCTATTTTTGGTAACATCGTCCGGGATGATATTTATATCGTCCTGGAAGATCGGTCCAAAAGCAAAAACCTTAAATAGGGCATCCTTATTAAGGCAGCCGTCATAAGCTGATCAGCCTGGACAATACTTGTATCGGCCAGGACGATAAGCTTAATTAAGAAAGAATCAGCTATCATGATCAGATTAGGTATTCATTATTTTTAGAAATCGGCCAGGATGATATACACATCGTTTAGGACGATCTAACTCAATTATGCCTAAATTGATCTGGTATCTTTGGAAAGCATTAATAGCTGATTGATATGATCACATTATCCGAGACGATCCTAGGATTGGCCAGGACAATTTTCTGAATGATTTACATCGGCAAGAATCTTTTTCAGGTGATGAGCAGGACGATTGAAATCAGTTTTAAACTAATCGTCCGGGATGATCGTGAGATCGGCCAGGACGATGTAACCAGGTTTCTTCTGATCATCCCAAATCGTCTCGGGCTGATGATCTTAATTTGTACTAATCGTACATGACCATATTTATATCATCCTGGACGATAATCTCAATAACTTGTAGTAATAAGCTTGTTTTGCGATCTTCTTTTTAAGCTATGACATGACACTTTGTAAGTGTATTTGGCAGCCATTATAGCTTCATTCTTTTGGAGGAAAATATCACGACCCAACCCGATCGGGACGGATCTCGCTCGCATCGGGCTGCGACACAGCTAACAAATCCAGGATCTGGCTTTGGAATTTGCTTCAAAACTTTCTTCCAAATATAACACAGACAAAAAAAACACATAGCTACTATAAACATACAAACACAATGCAGTTCATCTATCTTTTCTTTTATCGAAATAATCATATACAGATACAGTGCATGGCTTCAGACAGAAAGAACAAAACAGAATAGAAAAGCCATGACTGTACAAAAATCAAAAGTATCAAGTACCTAATCACAGATCAGACTCAGAATGTCTAGTTCAAGACCTCCTTCCCTTTCCCAGAACCTGAAAACCATGCATAAAATAAGGATGAGCTAACAGCTCAGCAAGACATCAATCACCAATCAAAATTATCAGAAACTCACATTAGAAATTACATCAGAAAAGGATCCATACAGAATTCGAACAATGGTACAGAAGTCGTACAACAGACAGAATAGATAACAACTCAATCAGAATTAAACATCAAATATGAAAACTAAAATCTTATCAAATCGGATATCATAAAGCTTTCATATCACAGAGCAGACAGAATCATAGGGAATAATCAGAGTCGTACAGAAATCAGAAATCAAATAATTCATAGAATAGATTCAGATAATTCATAAAACAGATCAGATAAGTCACGGAACAGATTATCAAATATCAAACAACAGATTTCAGATAACATCAGATTTCAGATTTCAGATATCCCTGACACAGACAGAATCTCAATGGATTCTAGCCCCTTATTCCTCCCTTCCCTGACACAGATAGAATCTCAATGGTTTCTGGCCCCTTATGTCTCCCGTTGTGCTTATCGCACCAGAACAGAATAAATATCAGAGGTTCCAGAACATTTTCTGATTTCAGAGCTCATTTCAGATTTCAGAATTCCTAGACCCAGACAACAAAAATCACATAGGATTCCTGCCCCTTATAACTCCCTTCTGATAACACAAACACATTAAATATTCCAATAATCTTATTTTAGAAAATTCAGAAATCATACGAAAATTCAGCTGCATAATGGCAATATACAAATTTACACAAAATTCACAGATTTAGAAATTTACCAAATTACCACAGAACATTCACAACAACATTGTAAGACTTTCATTGTATTGACAAAACATTTTTCAACATCCTGATAATTTGCAGTTCAATTAAAATACCGCAGAATCCAAAATATCCTGTAAAAATCTTCTAAAAAATACTCAACACATGCATAATTATCATGTCAGGGACATACAAAAAGTTACGCGGTAAAACCTTTGTCAGAAGAAAATAATACCAGAAATTCGCTAACGAATATAAAATCTGGAACAGAAAATGCATAAAAAATGTTATTTCTGAAAATTGAGAAAGGCAGAATGTGCCTTACCTCGAGTCTGTCAACTTCTCTAACTACCACAACGGACGAAAACAGACCGGAGTCGCTCAAAAATCCTCTTTTCCTTCATTTTTCTCTCTCTCCTGGAAGTCCTTTTCATTCAAAAATATCTTATTTTCTTATATATCCAGACTGATCGTCTCGGACGATCGCAACTTCGTCCCAGGATGATGTGGCTCTTAACGAATTTCATCCAGACGAAATTAATTATCGTCACGGACGACTTGGGCTCTAGACAGATTTCATCAAGACGAAATTAATTATCATCCCGTACGACTTGCTCTCTGTAAGAATTTCGTCCAGATGATCCCATTTTCATCCAGACAAACCATACAGCCAGAACTATTTTCCTGCACAACCTGTACCGATCGTCCCGGATGATCGAACTTCGTCCGGACGAACCTTGGAGCAAAATGGTCTTTACAATTTCCCCAACTTCAAAAAAATGTCGTCCTCGACATTGCCAAATCAAAACTCAGTCAGAAAAGATACGGATATGCTTGCCTCATGTCCGACTCCTTCTCCCACATCGCTTCTCGTGTTGTTCGGTGCTTCCACTGAACTTTAACCATAGGAATTTGTTTACTTCTTAACTTACGAACATCATAAGCCAAAATCAATTCAGGTTCTTCTTCATACTTCAGATTCTTTTGAATCTCCACTTCATCAGCAGATAATTTCTTTCCAGAATCAGATATCCACTTTCTCAAAGTAGATACATGAAAAATATTGTGCACATCAGACATCTGATCAGATAATAACAGTCTATAAGCAGACTTCCCAATCCTTTCAAGAATTTCAAACGATCCAACATACCTTGGATTAAGCTTGCTCACCATTCCAAATCTGCTGACTCCTTTCATCGGACTGACTTTGACATACACAAAGTCACCAACTTGAAATTCAACTAAGGAATATGATCTTCCCAACTTCCTCCAAAATCCAAAACACATAATCGCAGAAGATCTTCCAGAACTTGGATAGTCCTCTCAGACTGTCTGTCAGTCTGCGGATGAAAAGCAGTACTGAAATGCAACCTCGTACCCAATCCTTGCTGAATACTCTTCCAAAGTCTGG